ATTTAAAACTAATATAATTTTTTCTTTATTAAAAATAAAATTAATTTATGTTACACTATTATAATTTATTTATTTATTATTATTGTATAAAAATTAATAATTTTAATAATGAAAAATATAAAAAGAAAAAAATACACTTAATTATTGTTAAAAATGTCTTATCAATTATTTAATTTTAAATAACAACCGCTAACTGTTATATAACTAAATAATTGTATTAATCCAATCCATTATCTATTATTTATTATCCACTTTCTATCACCCACCACTTGCTGCCAATTATATGTTACCCGTTATCCATTATTCGCTACTTACTATTACTAACTTTTAATTATTATGCTAATACAGACCCTAAAAATAAAATTAGTATATTATATTTTAAAAACTATATTAGATCAAATATCAACTATACTAATCAAATACCAATTGTAATGGTTGTACCTGCTAAAATTTGGTGTACTAGTTGATACAAACAAACAACACACAAATAAAAAAAAAAAGGAAAAAAAAAAGCTTAAATGCAAAATGCAACTTAAAATATAATTTTAGTTATACCTAAAGAAGACAAGAAAATGAAAAGAGAACTTGAAAATTTTGGATTTTCTTTTAAGCTTAATAATATAGATCATGAAAGAAAGGGTAACCATAATAATTTTTAAAAATTGCAAGAAGCTCTTAAATAACAAATACAAAGTTTTCTCGAAATATTAAGTGAGAAAGTAAAGGTTTTAAAGAGAGAGGAGAGAAGCAATATGTTTTAGATCGTTAATGGTTAGAAGAAGAAAATACTGTAAAGTTAAAGCATTGGAGGAATTTTAGTCTTCTACAAGATAAATGGGAGGTGGGGTCACACATAGTAGATAGAGCAAAATGAAGTTTTAACCTTTCTGCTCTTCTAACTTACCAGTTCAGCTATGAGGGAATCTGCAACTAGGGGTGGGGAAAACCGGTTTTGGTTTAAAACCGAAACCTATTTTGAATTAACCAAAAAAATTTGGTTTTAATTTTGTGAATCAAAACTGAACCAAGATTTTTGTAAATTAATTGGTTCGGTTACCGATTTTTAACAATGAAATTGGTTCGATTTTGGTTTTTATTAAATAAATATTAATCAATTATTTTTTTAATAATAAATTATATTTATCACATATTTTATCATATTTTGTTATATTTTATCATATTTTATTATATTTTATTTATTTTATCCTAATTTTGGTTTTATTTTTGGTTTTCGGTTTTTAAAAAATTGAACCAAAACTGAATCAAAATTATTCGATTAATATAAAAACCAAAACAATAAAAATCAAAAACCATTTAAACCAAACTGAATTCATTTTTTTGGTTTGGTTTTCAAGTAATCCGTCGGTTCCGGTTTCAAATGCCCAGGGCTATCTGCAACCAGGTTCGTCTAAGGTGACTTGTAAATATCTGAAGGAAGACTTGAAAAAACAGTAAGAAAGAAACTATAGATCAAAGAGTGTTTCTAAAGAAATATTTTTTGGATGCGATAGGGTGTTTATTAACCTCTTCCTTTTGGTAGCACTTTCCATGTGTCGACATGCTCTTGGTTATCTTTAAATCCAATGCCTTGACATCCACACAGATGTCCTCATGGGTATGAGGTGGCCCGCATGTATATATGCCTGACAACGGTGGATTGTGCTGCTAGGCTTGATTTGTTTGGCCTCACTCAATGGCGGTTCGAACTAGCCTAAACAAGGATATTTACATTTGATTGTATGGCAAGAAGTTTTTTAATCAATAAAAACTTAATAAACTTGAACTTGATATCATGTTTAAATTTTAAATTGGTCGAAAGTTAATTATTTGAGAAAGATAAAAATAGCGAATTGTACTTGCTCTCAATGTGGTTTAGGGTGGATGTACTTAAACTTACAAATATATGCCACTTGACAATTCATATAATTTGTAAAATGTACACTTAACTCTAAACTCGCCAAAATGTAATTTAGCCACCGCCTATGATTGGAAACCTGTGCCATAAATTGTAAGCATCAAATAAGGGGTAAGTAGTTTAGGTATAGGTCAAGTATGAATTATATTTAGTATTTGATATGAAAATTTTTTAGTATAGTTTTTTATAATTGGTATTTACTTAAATATTTGAAGAGCTATATTTAGTATTTAACTCAATATGCATTATGTAACTTATGAGTATATATTTATATACTTAACTTAAAAATAAGATACTATTCTTACATATGTGTTTGGTTTACATTTTATTATTTAACAAGTTGTTATTGTTGTATGTATGGTTTATTTAGTTTATAAGTTTTACTTAACTTTTTTTTTAAATTTTTTTTGTATTTTATTTCTTAAATTTTTAAAAATTATTTTTATTATATAGATATTAAATATAAAGGTTAATGCATATCAGTTTTAATTAAAAAAAAAAATAAAATCTCAACTTATATTTAGAAAAT